GACTAGCATAAGCTATGAGTAACAACAGGAGGGATGTGATCTCGCGTAACTTCTGCAAATGACAGAGAAAGGGGAAAGCTTTTTGTATATAATTTTTATTTCGTAGCTGAGTTGAGATTGTTTGATAGCTCATACTTGGACTAATGTAAATAACACAAGTAAAGATAGTTAAAGTAAATGTAAAGGGTAAAGCGTGTGCTTGTTAGAATAAGTCAAAAAGTAAGAAGCACAATATTTGATCGGTGTAAAATGCTACCCTTGAGCCGCGAGCTTATGAGTTTTTAAACCTTAAAAATGTAGGGAAATTAGAGAAAATAATGATGCGTGAGTTCATATGTAATCTAAAATAAATAATTTTGAAATGTCAGATTCTTTTTATTTTATTAAAATTCAGTCTTTTGTCTTCCATCACTCAGCGCTTTCGAATGAGCTAGCGAACATCAAAATCGGTTGGTATCACTTAGTGAAGTTCCCTTTTGAGCTTTGTTCAGTTAATGCCAGCATTAGCAATGAGCAGCAACAGGTGTGATATGATTTCCAGAATCACCTGAGAATTGAATTAAGAGAAACAAAATAATTTCAATCGACTTGCATTAAATACTCACCAGAAGATAATTTACGCGAGTAAATTCAAAGTGTCCAAAGATGTAGAACAATTGGTGATTGATCAAATAATCGGCCGAACAAAGCAACTTTATTCTGTGATATAACCTTAGATCATCACGGTTGATCAAAATAAGATTTAATTGTTTCCGACATTCGTCAAACTACAGAAATAAAATTCAAATTGCAAATGAAAATATTTTAAAAGCTTGAAACACAAGCAAAAAGCTCCTATCTGATCTCAATCTAGTTACACTTGAATCGAGAATATAATAAAAATACTCAAATATGTACCTTTGCTTTAGCGAAACTACCACTTAGAAAGGTAATCGATTGCCCACAAAGAAAGTTGAGTGCACCAAGGATGACCATTGAAAATTTGATAAAGTTAGTCAAAGGTA